CGATAGTTAAAAAGTTGATACAAAAACGAGTCAACAATCACAGTTTCAACATTTAAATTGACGTGCAAAATTATTTGCCTAAAAATTAATATAGCTAGTGTTTTTTTACAATTGTTAGGGGTTATTTGGCGTTTTCCATTAAATCATGTATGTAAATAGTTAACTGTGTAGATTAATCTGTCCGAATGAATTGGTAGTGTTTTTTCATAAATAAGGAACACATTTTTAATTGGGAAGGGGCGTGATTGGATAAACTTGGCTTTCAGAATAAAGCACATCCTAGAAACTTACCGAATAAGTCATTTTCTATATTGTTAAGTCACTACCAAACAATCATGTATAACTAACCGAATAAACCACGAGTCTCATCAAATTCATTAGTCCATTGACAAATATACCTTTTACTTTGTTTTGTAACATTAATAACTATATATTATTTTAATAAATATTTTTGTGTATTTTAATAGGCGTAATTTACCTTTTTTTTAAAAATTATTTCTAATATAAATAATAATAAAATAATATAGGTATATTATAAAGAGTTCTCTATGTGCACATAATCAAATAATGTATATTTAGGTAGGGAAATGAATTATACAAGACGATTGAAATGATGGTTTTTTTTATTTTAAATAACAGAATTAAAATCTTATCTCTAAGTTGTTAAAAAACAAAGCAAATATAAATAATTATAAAAAATAATTAAATTACATTTTTATTAATTGATTATTATGAAACAAATGTTTTTAATATTTTTTTAAAACCTTATTTCATACAATCCTATGAAATCTTGTAAAATCCCGAGCATCTTTAAGGATTTTAAAATCCTATGATTTCAAATCCCAATAATCCAACAAATCACACATGGGATTATAATAGGTTTGAAATTCAAATTCTCTCAAATCCATTCCATTCCTGCAAACCAGACGAATATTTATAATTACTCGTATTTATTTTTTAAGAAAAATATAATTTTGAGATAAGATAGAATAAAAAGCATTATAATTATTTAAACTATTATTGTATACGTCAATATATGTCACGTGGGATGCAACTACACAAGACCCATTATTGGAAGTTTTTATTGTTTTTAAATCCATTTTTTAATTTTTACCCATTAATCTCACCTAACATTATTCAAATATTTTATAAATTTATTTAAATCAAACAAGTATGGTTTTTTTTTTCTCCATGGATATCCAACCTGCTAAGCGAACCAACTAATATCAGGATGATCACCTGCTTTGCAGATAGTTTGGAATCACCGTATTTGAATCTCCGTGGCCACAAAGAGATTTTTATTTATCATTAGATTTGAACCTGTGACACCACTTTTGTGGTTACAGGTACTGTTTTTGACGTGTAGTCCAGCGGATAAAGGTGTAGGAAGACCTTGTCTAAATACAACACAAGTTATGAGTTTGATCATGGACCCTTCGGCTAACTTCAGACGTTGAGTTAGTTAAAAAACCGTCCCTCATATTTCTGTACTTGAAGTTTAGAATATTTTAACCATATGATATAAATGTTTTATAATGTAACTAGAAGAGTACTCGCGCAATGCAGCGAGACACATCTTGATTTTAATGTTCCATTTTATTATTTGTCTCTATCGATGTTATAATACGATTTTATGCGTTTTAAAGAAAACAATAATGATTTTATTTTTGAATAAAATATAAATTTGAAGATATCATAAAAATTTGAAAAAAATTATATCAATTTTAATATCAAATCAACTATTTAAAAGTTTTTACTTTTTATGTAATTTCTTTAATTTATTTTTTTATTATAATTTAATTTAAGTTTAATAATGAAATAGTTTATTTTTGGTTTAATAATATAACATTTTATAAAAATAATTAAGTATTATGTTAGAACTTAATGATTATCCTAATTATATTTTAGATTTTTTATATTTAAAATGAGATGTTTATTCTGTATTTGATTATGTTTATCTGCAGTTACTTACACGAATTCAGATATGGAGCTTTAATAATTGTACTAATGCACAATCTACTTGTAATCTTAGGTAATAAGTAATATACATTAATAAACAATATTTTATGCAAAAAATGAGTTTTAAGAGTTTTTTGTCAAATGCTTTATAATATAGTATAGATTATGTGTTTTTAATAAAAAAAATAATGATTTTATTTTTGAATAAAAATATAAATGTGAAGATATCATAAAAACTTGAAAAAAAATATCAATATTAATATCAAATCAACTATTTAAAAGTTCTCATTTTTATTTAATTTATTTTTTTTATTGTAATTTAATTTAAGTTTAATAATGAAATAATTTATTTTTAGTTTAATATTATAAATTTTATAAAGATAATAATTAAGTATTCTGTTAGAATTCAATAATTATCCTAATTATATTTTAGATTTTTTATATTTAAAATGAGATGTTTATCCTGTATTTGATGAAATAGGATATGGATGAAATCGGATAGAGATGAAATCGTTTAGGGATGAACGGGTTTAGGGATGGCTTTAACAGGTTGTACCATTAGCAATAGATGTTGTCTTTAAGAGTTTTAAGAGTTTAAGAGTTTTTAAGTTTTTAAGAGTTTTAGCCAAATGCTTTATAATATAGTATAGATAAAGATTTCTAAACTCGTACGTATCTCAATTTTATGATGCTTTACCTTCTTGCGAAATATAGACTCAAAGACTCAAATTTCTTCATGTTTTGTTGTGTTTCGAGTTGACTGGGAATAATATGGTTCACATATAAAACGGACTTTATTTATCAAGTTTCTATAAATAAAAATTGATTTACGTATTTTCAGTGTGAACKTTGCTTGAAGTCTGTTTACCTAACAAGATTGTTGTATAATTCTTTAACAAGTCATTGAACTACAAAAGAAAATCAATGCGATGATTCAACTTCTGGTCGGTATTGTACACCAAAATACAACTAAATTATGTTATTTTGGGGGTGTTTGAGATTGCTTATAAAAACAACTTATTGACTTATTCCGATGTGACACCAGTAATAAGCACTTTTGTAACCCCAAGGGTGGTGCCTGATTGCTTTGAGCTTGACTCCAAAGGTCAAAAGTACCTGGAGGTCCCAGGTTCAAATCCAAGGAGGAATAAAAATCCCCTTGTGGCCACGGAGGTTCAAATGCGATGACTTTGGGCTAAGCAGGTGGTCGCCCTGGGATTAGTCGGCTCGCATAGCGGGTTGGATATCCAGGTTAATAAAAAAACACTTTTGAGTGCTTGGATAAACAATTTATACCGATGCCAAACTGGTAATAAATTTTTTTTTGAATAAGTTAAACCGTTCTAATTTATAATAAGTTGATAAGTATTTTTATAAAAAATAAAAGCTATTTCAAACAAGCAATCCCAAACACCCCCTTTGCATGCTTATCTTAGAGGTTAAAAGCATCACATTTGTAATGTGATGGTCATAAATTCAATTCTGACCACAACCTTCGTCATAAACAATAAACGATAATTATACGTTTGAATTTAACTTCAAATTTAAACAGTGTAAACTTTTAGACCAAATTCAAAGCGATGTATCTTATTAATTCTATGAACTCAATTAAAATTACCTTTAAATTTCCGCAACCACCACAAACTGATAGACCAAACCCTACGTTAGAACCAGTGTTAATCCAACCAAATTTCTCGGATACATATATATGTTAAAACATTAATCGTATAAAACAGTAAGTATGTATATAAATGGTATCTATACGTATGTGTGTGTGTGTGTGTGTATATATATATATATATATATATATATATATATGGTTGGATTTAATAAAACCTGATAGGACGGCCCCGTTTTCATATTTTTAGGATTGTCCCCTGAACCTCATGATAAGGTTCGGTTTTAGCAAGGTTTCAAATTTCATAGGAACCTCTCGTTGTTGTACATCGAGCACACATGAGATTTGATTCAATGGCACAGATGCGTGCATTATGTGTGAAGGTCAGGGCATGGTCGTCATTCGATCATCTGCATTTGGGTTGTTCAGACTGATTAAGGGGGTGTTTGGATTTGCTTACTTGAAACAACTTATGACAAAAACACTTATCAACTTATTATAAGTCAGAATAGTTTAACTTCTTTAAAATAACCTTATTACCGGTTTGACATCGGTATAAGTTATTTATCTAAACACTCAAAATTGCTTATTACCGGTGCCACACTGTAATAAGTCAATAAATTGTTTTTATAAGTAATCTTAAACACCCCTAAGTTAACATATTAATATTATATAGGCAAGGTATGTTAATACACGTTAACTAATCTTAAGGTGTGCTAGTATTCGAAGTTTTTTTTTTTTTTTAATTAAATTATGATAATATTCATTAATTTCGTGTTAAGGCATATTAATATTTAATAAAATATTAATTTTCTTCACTATACATTTAACTTCAAAATTTTTTATTGATAAAAATAATAAAAAATAATTTATTTCTTTTAAGAAATATTCGATGAATAACACCAAATATTATAACAAATCAATAAAAATTGATATAAAAATTGAATTTAAATTTTTAAAAAGAAAAATAAATTTTATTAAATATATAAAATAGACTAATAATATAATTATTGTTGTAATCTTTGATATAAATTTTTAGAGTAAATTATGATTTTCGTCCCTGTGGTTTGTTAATAATTTCTATTTTCATCCCTATGGTTTAGAAACTATGATTTTCGTTCTTGAACTAATTCCTACTTTAAATAGAAGAGTTCAAAAAATAAAGAATTGTAAATGACAGGGGCCAAAACAACAAATAAATTTAAAATTATAAAGATAAAAATAGCAATGAATTATAATATAGGGACGAAAAATGAAAAATCTAAACCAGAGGGACTACAATTACACTTTTTAATAAATCGGAGGGACTAAAACGCAATTTACTTTTTTATTCTGAAAAATTAGATTTTGAGACCATGTGGAAGATAAACCTCCCGCCCACCCCCAAAAAACCACAATCAAAACCCTCGAATCATTCTCCATTGATAATAATGGATTCATGGCTTCCATTGCTGGATATCTTCATGAATTCCCTTTCTCCTGAAACAGAAGCATCGTTGTGGCTCCAATCTTCCTTCCATCCTTCATCCAATTCCAATCCCTCGATTTCCGTTTCCACTTCCACCGCCTCTTTCCTCTCTCTCCTCATGCAACCCACCGAAGCCGTCGTCATCGATTCTTCTTCTTCATCCTCATCTTCAATCCATAACAAACGAAGGTAAGCAACCCCATTTTGTTTTCATGTTTCAGTGTATGATCATATTACATGAGTAATTTTTATCACCTCATTGGTGAATTATGACAGAAATTTTCATAAAGTGCTTCAATCCTGTTTATGTAAATGAGTTTATTGAGGAATCAATCTGAAGAAAATACCCATTTGATCAAATAAGCTGATTGAGTTTTTGTTTGTTTGTGAGCAATGTTTATTTATGTGAATATTATATAAGGTGGAATAGCTCTTTTCTTCGCTTAGTATTTTCCCCAATTACCAGGTTTATGTGGCTGCAGACGTTACCCGATGTAGTTCAGGCTCGAATTTTGTCATTTCTTACTTACGAGCATGCAAAGTTTAATAAGCAGGAGTTATCTAAACTTGCAAAGCATATGTTGTTTGATGCTACAGAGGTTAATTTTTGGGCCAGGAGAGCTGCACACCAGCTGTTTGATGTTGTGTCTGACTCAAACTATAAATGGGTTTCTTGTTTAAATTTGGATTCTGAAGAAGAAAAGTTTGAGGGGAGCTTTGGAGAGGCTCCTAGGTGGCTTAAAGACGTTGCTAGTGCCAATGATTCCGTTCTTCCTTGGCTTCCCATTTCAGTCGATGAATTGAATACGAGAATGCCGCATAGCCCATGTGAAAATGATGAAGATATGATGGTTGAAGTTGAAGAGATCGAAGATGGAAATTGCGAGCGTGTTGGCACCCGACTCGAATTGGGTCATCATGAAATTGATCCCATAGACCATGAAACAGAAGAATTGGCCGCTTGTTTGCAAATGAGAATAAAGAACTTGGAATCTAGTCTAAAAGCATTAGAATTGGTGGATGATATCCGACAACTCTGTTTTAAAAGGAAAGGAGATTCTTTAACGGTTTTGGGCATGATTGAACCGTGGAATGCAGTTGATGAAGTTGTTCCAATCTTGTTATCCCGTTTATTAGATGGAAACGAAGACGACTTTGGATGGACAAGTAATATCCTATGCTCAATTGTGCTTCCAAAATTCTTAATACTTGAAACACCCGCTACTCGTGTGCTGGTAACCGCAACTATAGATTACTGCAAGGTGCATCACAAGGCTGCGGTTTACGCACTTATATTTCCATTGATTCTTCGAAAAGAAGGCATCAATAACCACATTAGTGACGTGATCACAAGGATTGTTAAAGAATGCTTGCACCCTGCTCAAGTTTCCGCCTTCTGTCAAAAACTATTATGTGAAGAAGAAGATGAAAACAAATATATATGCCTTCCTTGCCATCGGTCTCTAGTTTGTGGAGAATTGGTATGGACTGAACCGTTGTTTAACCTGTTCCAGAATATCTTCAATCATAATGTTCACTTGACTCAAGATTCAGTTGATCGACTTGTTTCCCACACTCTAGAATCTGCTAGACGGTTCTCAAAGTCTTTGAAGTTTGCAAACTTCTTGCTGTGTTTTGTCGGTAAGTGTGGTCCATTGTTAAAGGTTCATAAACTGGCACTATCTGAAGCTGTTGGTAGCACAAACAGTTTCTTGACGAAATCAATATTATCAAAACTGGCTAGTATTTGATGCTTATTGAATTACATTTTTGGAATGCTGAGGACAAATAGTAAGTTCTGGAAGTTATTGCAAATGTTTGGTGAAACTTATTGAGGTGGAAACATGTTGAACGGGAAAATGACACAAATAGCCATTTTGGCGGACCAAATTTACCTCTTAGCCATTTCTTTCTCTCCTTTCCAACAAAATCATCACCTTCGCAAGTAACCATTCCTCAACTTGTGGAGGGATAAAAGAAAGAAATTTCTGAACATGGTCCGCAAGTAACACATCTGCAACAGGGACCAAATCTGTAAATTTGTCTAAATACAGGGACCAAATCTGCAAATTAGTCTAAATACTTCCAGGACATTTGAATGTGCTACTTGCGAACCCGTTCAGAAACTTGTTTTTATTTTTTGCCCCTCCGCATGTTGAGGAAGTGTTACTTGCAGAGGTGATGATTTTGTTGAAAAAGTCGGAGAGGAATGGCTAAGAGGTAAATTTCTTGGCCAAAATGGCTACCTTTGTTAATTTCCCTAACCGAAAAAGCTCATCAGGCAAATAAAGGCTAGCCCGTTCGAGTCTTCTCAGGGCCACCGAAATTTTTTCTGGCTGTCTTCTTCAGGGTCCTATGGGATTAGGCGAGGTGCTCGCAAGTTGGCCCGGACACTCACGATTACCAAAAAAGGAACAAAGAAAGGAAATGTTGCATCTTGAGAAAGGAGTTGGCTATGACCCCCTATGAGGTTCAGCAATATAACGTTGGTACATTGTTGTTTCACTCACATTTAATCTTTGTGATATTTAAGGTAATATATCTATAAGTGCCTTGAATTTGTGTGTCGACACAAATGATTTTTTGTTCTTTTGGCTCATCTGCTTTTGGAAGTCTTGGTAATGCTTTTAATTCTTTGTTACAAAACCGAGCAACATGTTTTATGATAAGGAGATTAGACCATGACACAGTTTCCGTTTGTATGTTTTCTTTGCTTGTCTGTTAGATTTTTAGTTGCTTACCTCTAACTTGTATTTGAATTCGTGGAAGCTGCTTTTCTTGTTTCAAATTCTTCTTTTTTTTGGATGTTATTTTTCCGCATTTCTTCTACAATATGGGGTTCTTGACTTAACTAGGCTTTCTAATTTTTTACAAAAATAACCCAAAAATACATTTTTTACAAAGAAAACCCATCCATTTCTCCAATTTTTTCATGGAGAAGGTCCCCACAATAATCCACGTGGGCCCCACAAAAATCTGGAAAACTTGTTGCTGATGGCACCCCTTGGCCTGCTTAGTGAAATGAGGGGGGATTCGTGAGGCATTTCACAAATGGCCCACAAGCCGGTTTTTGTATTAAATGTTGAATGAGTATAAGTTAGCAAGTTTCAATAATAGCATTGTGACTGTTACAGATGTACGGGGCGAGTGGTAGGCTTGCTAATATGCCCAAAGTCCCCGCTGCAATATTATCACTTTGAACCCTTCAAAGATTCTAATATTTTTGTGGGGCCCTTTCTGCTTTCGCTTTTGGGTTATTTTTGTATAATGTTTTTTCTAAAGAAAGGTTAGTTAAGTCAAGAACCCCAACCTCGCGGGGGGGGGGGGGGGGGGGGATTACAGATTCAGCTGCTCTACTCTTTAGGTGAGATATTGTGAGATTAAACGGTTTTTCCTTCCTCAAGATTACACCATGACACACACAAAGAAAGCCGAATTACAATCGACTTGTCTGTTTCCTTCATATCGGAATCACCCCAAAATGCATGCTGAAATATGCCGACAACTTTCTATAGATTTGCTTCTTAAACAGCAGACTAGTAAAGGAAACATGTTATAAATTTATAATCTATTAAAACAAAATCACAAATCAGGACTAATATGAGCAAAAGTTGCAGCAAATAGTTAACACACACAGGTTGAGACCATGGCTCTTATGCAGGAAAATTTTGGAAAATTTCAGCCTTAGCTTTTATGCAGGAAGATTTCATTGCCCATTGACCATCTTCTTCATAGATTCAAATCGAGGACCTTTGTCTGCAAATTTGGTTGACGAATAAAGTTTCAAGTAATCTTGAAACGTATAGCGATTTGGGTACAACAATTCTCGAGCTGGAGAAATGACGGCATCTCCAGCAGGATTATAGAAAGTGGCAATCGACAGTCTGCTTCCATCTTTATCGGTCATAACTCTGTGAACGGTACTCTTATAATTTCCATTACTCAATACTTCTACCTGATCACCTGTGTTAACGAAGATGGTATTGTTTTTTGAAGGCGGGATATTCACCCATTTTCCATCTTTGAAGAATTCAAGACCTGGGACTTGATCATCTTGGAGCAAAAGAATAATGCCACCTGCATCTGTGTGCTCACGAAGACCTCTAACGAGTTCTGGCCGAGGGCATTTTGGGTATTTGGCTACTTTTGTCCCTACGGAAGGACCTTTGCCTCCTGAGAAAGCCTCCTTGATGTATTCCTTATTCAGACCAAGATTTTCACACATGAGTTCAGAGAGCTTCTCGGCCACCTTTATCAGTTGATCAATGTACTCATCCATTGCTTTGCTGCATTAATTCATTATTCACATATGCATCCAGTTAAAATTGTGTCCATCTCTTTCATTTATATTCATTTTTCACATATGAATCCTGTTAAAAATTGTGTCCATCTCTTCCATGTATATTTAGCAAGGTCACTTAAGGCTAAGTTTTAGCTTATAAGCTAGTTGTTGGCTGATACACTATTGTTGTCCGATAAAACTAGTTGTTAGCCGAGAGACTAGTTGTTGGATAATAAGCTGATAAACTAGTCATGCTTGTTAAAAGCTAGTTGAGGATGTAAAATGACCTAAAACGACATGTTTAAAATTAATTGGAAAAAATAAAGGGTATAATTGGGAAAAAGTGGAAAGAAAAGCCTCTGGAGCTTATTGAAACGCCACTTGAAGTAGGGTTTCAAAAAAGCCAGCTTATCAACTAGCTTATGGCTAACTAAACTGGGTTTTTTTTCCGACAAGCGTAAAAATAAGCTAGTTTATGGTTGCCAAACATGACCTAATAATTTTGTTTAATCTAGTTTTGCAGGTTGAAAGCGTTGTATACAAATGATGCAAGTATGGACGATGGTGATTTCTGACTTACCGAAGCTCCTCGGAAAGATTGGTGTACACATTGATCTTATTCTCTGGACGATGCCAAATAAAGAACGTGCTTTCCCAATCGATGTCGGTGGTATTGCTTTTATCTTCAAACTTTTTCGCTATCTCGGAGTTATAGAAGTTCTTCTCCATGTTCTCTTGATAATGCTGATTCACTAGTTGCTTAACCTTGTCCATTAGCTCCTTATCAACTCCATGGTTTTCAATCTGCGTATCATAAACTCCAATAAGTTTATATCATAACTAAACCAAAAACCAAACCAAATAAACACCGTTTATCCCATTTGGTGGTGGGGTCCAAGGGGGGTAAGATGCACGTATACCTGACTTCTACCTTCAAAGAGTAGAGTGGTAAGTGGTTGTATCTGTGAAGACCCCCGGCTTGTGCGAGAAGGAGAAATGCATATAGGATACAATTTGAAAACCTAGTTACGTGTAAACAATAGCACACAAGTATAGGCAGGTAGATGGAAGTTCATTTAGGAACCTTAAATATTTTAGGCACCCAAAAACCACTTATTTTGTGAGTGTTCATGATGAATAACATGATAAGATATTCATTATGAATGATGAATAATATTCACAAATATTCATGATGAATAATATTCACAAATATTCATGATGAATATACAGGTAGAGGAAGGTTCATTTAGGAACCTTAAATATTTTAGGCACCCAAGAACCAATCTTTTTGTTAGTGTTCATGATGAATAACGTGATAAAGTATTCATTATGAATAATGATAATATTCACAAGTATTCATGATGAATAATGAATAATATTCATCATGAATACTCACAGAATAGGTAGTTTCTGTTCCTAGATTCGTAAATCAGGCAGGTATATCATAACTCATAATCAAAATCAAAGTCATGTATTAGATGATGATATATGAGAGTTATAATCATATTATTACCTGAAAAAAGCCCCATTTCTCACAAGCATGGTGGAGAAGTGCCATTGTTTTGCTTCTCTCCTCTCCATCTAACTTGCTAAAATCTATCATAGGAATTGACATTTTCTTTCTTATTTCTTTTCAAGTTTCTGCTTTCTTGTTGATGAGTATATGGTTAACTTAGTGAGGTATATATAGGCAGCCACAGGACGACAAAGTTGTTTTCACCAATATTTTAATTGGGTAGAAGTTAAATCTGTAAGGAAAGGTAGTTGCAGATGTACCATGGCCTAAATATAAGGATGTAATTAATGCGTATTCAGTTCATCTTCCCCGTCATTCCGATTAGGGAACATTTTGACTTTTCTGGTCAAACAATTCGTATCGATTAAACGATATAGACTTGTTTAAATTAGAGGAAATTATCGGTACTGATGCTCTGAGTTTGTCTAATTGATTGAAATTAACTCTAATATATCTTCTGAATACTCAAGTTAATTTGTTACGTCTATGTTAGGTAAACTAGCTGATAAGCTGCCTCTTAGACGTTAAACTTACCATGTTTGGTAAAAACTAGACCCTATAAGGATATTTTACTTGACATCTCCAATAGATACTCCAAAATAGAGAAAAATGAAGATTTCGAGCAAAAATTTTGCTCCAAGATATTCTCCAAAATTTCCTCTAAAATGGAGAAAGTAGGAAAGAGAGTGAAATTCTCAAAATTTGGAGAACCAAAAATGATTACCATGAGGGAGAATTTTTTTTTATTATATTCTCACCGATAAAAAACTTGAAATCAAATGTTTATGAGTGAGAAATAGTATTTTATTAAATGTATGAAATATTTAAGTAATATAATCGATGTTGTAATCTCCAAAATGGAGAAGCTGTTGGAGTTGAATGTAATTTTTTTTGGAGATTTTGGGTTTTAATATTCCATTTTGGAGAATTTTGAAAAATCTGTTAGAAATGCTCTTATGGCTTCTTGCATAAAAGATCAGGGTAATCAAAGGGCCTTTGCCTTTAGCGGTATTTAAACCTCTACCCTTTCAGGAGGTCAAGGGTTCAAACTTCATCAAAGATGAGAAGGGTGTGTGAGTTCATTTGCTATATATAACTATTATATACTTTAAAAAAAAAGACCATGGTAATCAGAGGGCCTTTGACCTAATCGTATATGGACTTTTGACCATCCAAAGAATCAGGAGTTCTAACCTCATTAAAGATAAGAAAGGTGTATGTATGAGTTAATTTGCTGTATACAATTACTTTAAAAAAAAAAAAAAGAGAGAGAGGAGGGTGTATGTTAAGTTACATAAGCCAAGATTAGATTCAAAGCCTTTGAATTGTAGATTTGGAAGATGTTCCCAGTTGACTCAAATTACGGATGGAGTAGTTATCATCCTTTTTTTCTAATTTATTACTTAAAAAAATGTGGACAATATTCGTTGCATGTGACCAGTTGAAATTCCTTTTCTTAAAATAGTATTATTTATAAATCAACCATGCTTTTTATTTTGTTTCTGTGGGAAGTTGAACTTGTACTCATAATAAATGATTGTTTTCTTGAAATCCAGTTCATCAGTTTTGCGGAAACTGGGTGCGGTTTTGACCTTTTCATCTACTTTTATTGTTTTTTTAAACCATATGTTGGATACAGGTTTCCAATGGGCTGTTTCAGATGTGATGTCATAGATTCAAAGGTATCACCTTTCATTCATAAATCTCTCTTCAATCTAGCTTTGATATATACATATATAGACTTGGGATCATATAAGACAATACTGTTTTTATAAGACACATATTTTTACACTTGAAACTTTACAGCAAAACACTCTAAAGGTAACATTCCCAGTGTTTTTGCTGTGAAGTTTCAAGTGTAAAAATGTCGTCTCATGTGTCTCACGAAAACAATCTTGTCTCACGTGAACGCAACCCTATATATATATATACATACATACGTAGAGGTTGGTTATTATACAACCCTTTACATTTGTACTATCAATACAAATCAATCTCAACCGTCCATTTAATTTGATGAATATATGATTTCATAGAAGTTTTGATTGTTTCCTAATATAAAGTATTGATCATAATTAATGAACTTTATTCATCTTCCATAAATATTCAAATCATAATAAATGAATTTTCATCATTTTCATAATCATCTCGATTTATTGGGTTGTATTGGTTGTATAAATGTGATGGATTGCATTTGAAACAAACTTTACATACGTATATTATACATATATATGGGTTCAAATAAAAACCATTCAATTTGTAAAAACCGTGAAAACCTCTTTCAATCAATTATAATTTTTCATTTTGTTCATTTTTTTATAATTATGAGAGGTTGATTAAACTATTTTTATTGTGGAGGGTGTTAATCATGGATATTATCATCTTCATTATTTTAATTTTAGAGAAATACATGAAACAGTTTCATTAAAATTTCATTAAGTAGTATATGAAACAGTTTCATTAAAATTTCATTAAGTAGTATATGAAACAATTTCATAACCACATATGAAACAACTTCATCGGAAAAAGTATTATATGAAACAATTTTACAAGATTTAACAATTTCATGAAAAAAATTTATAAGATTAACGATAGATGAGAGTAGTTTTTACGGTTTTTACAAATTGAAGTGGTTTTCATTTGATCGCTCATATATATATATATATATATATATATATATATATATATATATATATAGGGGAGCGATCA